TCTTCTTGACTGTTCCCTGCGAAAAAACACCGATTGTATACTATGAGAAACTAAGATTGAGAGAGGTTAATAATAAAAACACTTAAACACATTTATACAACTAGGCATCAAGAAACGCTTGTTCCTACCTCACACTTGGTTTCTTCTGCTTGTTTTGGCTGCTTCATGCTGGCCGCACTCTCACACTTGGTTTCTTCTGCTTCCTTTGGCTGCTTCATGCTGGGCTCTGCTTGCTTTGGCTGCTTCATGCTAGCCACACTCTCACACTTGGTTTCTTCTGCTTGCCTTGGCTGCTTTATGCTAGCCACACTCTCACACTTGGTTTCTTCTGCTTGCTTTGGCTGCTTTATGCTAGCCACACTCTCACACTTGGTTTCTTCTGCTTGCTTTGGCTGCTTCATGCTAGCCACACTCTTCCCGCATTCACTGAGTCATATTATCAAAAACCTTATAAACGTTACATTACATATATACAAAACCCTCCACGTCTGATTTAGACCAACAATTTTACAGAGAGAAACAGAGCATAATAAAGAAGACGAAACCCACCAAGTCACTGACCTTGGGCAAGGATCGAGCACATAGGAAGCCGGCAACATATTGAGGGAGCCTTGAGCCGACGGCCTGCGCTTGGAACTGCCAGCGACCACAGTGGGATTTGGGCTCTTCGTTTCGGGTTCACTGGCGCGTAGCAGGCAAAGCTCCTTCTTCAGTTGGGCTTGAAGGGCGGCATTTTCGACTAAAGCTTTCCTGATCTCCGATAAGTTGTCATGGGGGTCGTCATCTTGACCCGAGGTGAGCTTGGAAGCTTGGGATTTCTTCCGACGCCCCATTATAAATTGGGGCACAAGGGAATTTAGGGTTGGGGATGATGCGTGTGGCAGAAGGGAGATTAGGGTTGGGTATGAAAATTTCCAAGGCAAAGGGGAACTAGGGATTTAAGGGAGTTAGAGAGCATTTCTACGGATCTAGCGTTTTAATTCGTGCCCCGAAGGCCAGACTTGTTATACGTACGGTCTCCGCCTCAAATTTCAAGACACTTCTAGTTGGCGGGCTAAACCATGCGTAAACTTTTCCTTTCTTTTTGATTTTTTTTTTTGGGTTAAACTTTGTTTTTGAAACTTGGAGAACAAAGTTTTCATGGTTCTTATTGGAATTGTTGTTGTGTTCTTGTGTAGTTCCATCCATTTGTGCAAAGTTAGGCTGACTTAGCTTGTTCGGGGAGGCGATTAAGTTGAACACTGCATGAGCAGAAGAATTCATAGAATCATCTAATGACAGTTGGTTTTTTAGAGTTCGAAATGGCTAAAAGCTTAGAACATTCTTATTCTATTAAACTACAAAAATAAAGTTTGAAGTGTGTGTGAAACATAGGGTTCGTCCGATCGGCTTGAAATGTTTGGGTTCGCAGAGCTTCACGAGCTATTTTGAATTGTAAAGCTAGATAAAGCCAAGCCGAAGTTTCAAATATCGAGCAATGATCTAAACTGCAGGAAATGAGGATTTTTAATACACACAACTATGATACTATGAGCGTTCGAACTTGAGACCTTTAGTTTGCAAGTCAATACTTTTTTTCACTGGACTAGACCCCATTGACAAATCTTTTATAACTTTTTATTACAAAGGTAAGAGAGCACCACCACCGCCAATGAATAAGAGCACCACCACCAAGGAATCAGGATTTAGAGAGATTGAGAAAATTATAGCTTGAAATGTAAGAGAATAAAGGAATGAGACCATCACCACCAAAGGATTGAGGATTTAGACAGATTGAGAAAATTGCATGAATAAGTATAGTATTTAATTGGGTATTATATTTATTGTTATTATTATTTATTATATTGATAGGCGGGGTGGTCTGGGCATAGACGAGCTTAATCAGGTCGGGCCTAGGAAAACTCAAATGGGTTGAGCTGCCGGTTGACTCAAGGTTTCAAACCCTTGGCCCAAACCTATCCGATCTTAAAGCAAGTTAAGCTGGGCAAGAGTAAGCAACAAGTCGGGTCTGGCTTTCTCCTATCAGCTTTGGCCCATTTGCTGCGGGCCAAATAATGATCCCTAAATATTCTTTATAATTGTTGACCCCCTTTTGTTTTTCCTTTGGAGAATTTTCTTATTCTATGTGCAGTCGTAGTCTACCTCAATGGAAAAGGACTTTGATTTGCATACCAATAGTGGTCTCATGGAAAAACTCATGCACATGATGGCTTAAACCCAGGATCACTTAGAAGCACACCAAAGGTATGCGCCAATCCAACAAAGGGCAAAATCAAAAAAATTTGAACGGGTGGGCTAGCTACATTTATTAGCTAAGAGTCCAATTATCATTTTCTTATGTACTTACAGTTTCTATAGTCTTTTTAGAAGTAAAAGTATACATTTAATCATGTAAATCATACTAGTTGATAGCTCAATTGACTAATTTTCAATAAATAAAAAAAGATTATTTTGATGCAAGTGATATCGTGGGATGGGAAAATCTAACCTTAGACAAAAGTATATGGTCTTAACTATTTGAGTTACAAGTCCTTTGCAATTTACAATAAGCTTTAACTTAAAACAAATAAATATTTTTCTCTCAAAAATATAAATAAATATTAAATGCAGCTAAAACCACATATATAATTTTTTTTTTTACTTTAATAGGTTATTATTACATACTAAGCTATATTTTTAAGAAAGATAAATATATAGGTTATTTTTTAAAAAAAAATCCCAAAAACCTGACTGGGCTACATCCCAGTGTAGCCCTTATGGTAGTTCCATCCATGAATCCAATTAACACTCCAATGGTCTTTCTCCTATAATACAGACTATCCCCTATAATATAGACTATCGCTTGTATAAAAAAAAAAACTATATTAATTCTTTAACAAGATGTTGGAAATTCACTCATTAGATGCATACATCTTAGTTTCACTCATTTGCTATATGAGTTGAGTTATTATTATTATTGTTTTTTCAAAGGATAGGGAGATTGTATTCATAAAGGATGAGTCAAGTCACTTGAGTTTCACCTCAATTTCCATTTCCAAATCAGACCAAAAAAAAAAAAAAAAAAAAAAGAGAACTTTTTATTTTTCCGGATCCAAATGAGAATTTTTTACGTTTGCGTATTGAAGTATCTCTAGATTATTTTCACTCTGTTACAGCTAAAGATGTAATGATTAGTCAAATTCAAAACAAGAAAATGGACAACACACCAACAAACCCAAAATTATGAAACAGTAATTAACATAAAAGATGATACTTTTACTTCCCTTTTAATCTTAACCGCCACCAACTTCTCTGACTTTTCTTTTTCTTTTTGTTGTTGTTGAACAAAGAAAAAGAACATTTACCAAACCGTTACGAATTTTACCAGTCTCAGAGCTTATGGCTAAATCGTGCTGATGAGTTGGTTGGTGGCGGTGACGTAGTGGCATGAATCGCTCCAAAACCGTAGCTTTCCTCTGGCTCTTCTCTGCCTTGCTCTTCTACTCTCTCTTCCAAATGGCGCTCCGGAACTCTGATTCTTCACACAATTACACATCTGCTTCTGGTAAATTCAATTGCTTTCCTTCACTCTTTCACTCTGTTTGGTTCCCGAGAAATTGGGTTCTTATTCAACATTTTCCTTCCAGATTCTATGGTTTCCAACAAGGAGCAGAGGTCCGCCTTGTACGATCAGATGGCTAGGGATTTGGATCAGCACGGACCGCTTTTTCTCCAACATGGCCACACTTCTCAGTCTCTCTCGCTTTCTGATATTTTTACCATCAAGGATGGATCTGTAGCACCTATACTTAAGGTAAACTTAATATCTCAATTGATTGATTGATTGAAGTTTTAGGCTTTGGAGCTTTGGCTAATTGGGTTGTATGTGTTCTCTGTAGGCAGCAAATCCCCCTGTACGTGCTAATGTTTTGCATCTGAGCACACAGTATTCGGTTCCGATATCGTAAGTATTTGCTTTCTTTCTCTGTTCATGTGTTGTTGATTGTGTTTTCCTATTCAAATTATCAATGCTAACACGTGAAATAAAAAAAAGAAGATTTTTAGTTGATATCAGCATTTATGTATCATTTTGATTATTAAATTTGGGAACTTCATTTGTTAGTTCTAAATGTAATGGAGCATAGAGAAGTATTCTCTGAAATCAAGCACATTAAAGTTTGGATTTTTTTTATCTGCAAAATTACAACGTTGGGTATAATTTCATAGCTTCAGCTTAGTACTCTTTCATTGAAGTTGTGCGTTCATGATTGACTTGTTGCAGGGAGGCTCTTAAACCTATACTTGATCCGTACTTTGATAAAGGTAAGCTATTGTTTGTCATTTTATAAAATCTTTGACAGACTACATAATCATAGCTCAAATTAGTATTAGTTCATTTATTATCAACTCAGTATTTACGATTTGTTGGTATGCTTATGCATTTCTTTGTTAGTGATTTGGTTTCAGAACTCCAGCTTGTACCATTTTAGTATGTTCCATGCCTCACACCATATTTCACCTGTTCCTGCGACTCAAGATGAGGTAACAGCCTTTTTGGAGACATTTATTTGTTTCTTTGCATCTTTCTTTTCACTTACATGTCAATTTAGTTTTTGAACCCTTTTTTTGGGGTCAGATTGAAGCCGAAGCAGCTGCTGTTAGAGCTGTCACACAGGAACTCTGCCCTTTAAAAATTGTCCTAGACAGGGTGGTTTTAACTTCAACAGGTGTGCTTCTTGGGTGCTGGCAGGTTGTTTTCCATAACCTATATACTCACTCTTTAATCCCTCCCTTCTCTTAATGTATGTTAAACAGGAATTATGTAATGCTTGTAAAAATAGGGTATTTCTTGATTTCAACAGTATTACAAATTTGCATTTTCTCTCCCCTTCGCCAATTTGAGGACATCGTGACGTGTTATGCAGTAGTATGTCTTATAGTTTAACCATCAAGGCAACTATATAAGATATAATTATTTGCTGGAATCACTCTTTTGCACTTAATGTTTGTGTTCCAATTTAGGTAATCTCTGGATCAGATCCTATAACCATTCGTGCAAAATTGAGGACTGCACTTCCACGGGCACCAGAGAAGCAACTTGTAAGAACTGTACCCATGTCTTAATTCATTTTATTTTAGTACAGTACCCCAAAACTATGTAGACTAAGAGTTGTGAAGTTAACTAACAGAATACTCTGTAATGACTTGAGATCATCTATGAACTCAAGCTTAGAAAATGAACGACAGTAACTCTTGCCTGAGGTGACGATTTCCTGAAGCTTACAGAACTTATTCCTTTCTGATTTATCTTATTGGCCGCCAAACTGATCTCTGGGGGTAAGGGGGTGTGTGGTCCCCAACAAGTTATTTCATTCTTTCTCATATGGAACTCATAGTTGTTGCATCCTGGATCTCATCTTCATGACCTGGCCTCATTAGTGTGCTGTGCAATAGTAGTGGTAGACTGATAGACTGTGCGTAAATAGCTTGTTTTCCTCCAGTATCTAATGGTTGTACCAATTATCTCCTGCAGTATGATGCGGCTATTCTTCATACATCATTTGCAAGGCTTCTGGGTCACCCGAAAGCATCATCCATGGTAGTATCATCTAAAGGCTCTTTGAGTGGAATTAGTAGCCTATTTCATTGCTTGCATGTAATTGTTTTAATACTGCAGTGATCTGCTGAAAGTGTTAAGTCTCTTTCTTATACTCTTCAAAGAAACTAGGCTTGCTTTCTATTTTTTTTTCTTTTTCAATTTTCATATATAGTATATGAATGACTACTTTTCATAGTTAATGGAATTTTAGAATCCTTGATGAGATCCAGAACTTTCTATGAATTGGGAGTTCAAGGAAACATGTGTCATCTCATTTTCATGCTGGTTGCCATTACATGCCATTAGATCTATATATGTTCTGTTAGTTTATTCTTTATTCTTCTCTTTATTTTTTCATGTTCAGATGCTATCTAACACTGGGGATCAGGTCCGCTTCTTCCATGGGCTTGTTGATCGTCTAAACAATGAACTCCGAGGATTTGAGGTGAGATATGTTATTTATAACCACAGTAATTTATGGTATGTGATTTGTGTGTATCCTCCTATCCATGAGCTTACAAGGTCCACAAAATATAATTCAGGCGGTTGTATCTGAGCTCTGGTATGTTGAGGAATTTGATGTTTTGGCTCTTGCTTTGAATGGAAGAATGAAGATGCGCAGGTTCCAACTTGGCTGCTCAAGAAATTGACGTCATGAAATGAAAGACAAAAGATGGATTACAAGATCTCACGACACATACCTTAAAGAAAAACTGCTGACACAAGATGTGCCCATTGAGAGTGCAAATTTGTAAATGAAATTAAAATATCTTCCATCAGTTAAAGAGTTTTGATACCAACCAGACATTTCCTGCGAAAGAACATAAACAAAAACAAAAATGAGGATTTTGCCGTTCATAAATTATTGATATAAGACGTTGTAATTACATTACTAATTTACTATATTGTTTTGTATTGTTTGAGCAAACAAAGAGTGCTCACTTCTGAGTATGTATCGACAAATGCTCCCATGACATGCAAAACTCAAATACAGAACACAACTGATGAAACCAACGTGAAGAAGACAGAACCGTTCAAATTACTAATATTCAATGTCTGAGAATGGTTGATTGAGAACTTTGTTTTCGGGTCTTTGAAGTTGAAACGATGCAATAATTACACTCTCAATCAGAAACAATGCCAATGACACATGAGTTTGTTCCGCGATTTTAGCCTCTAAACGAGTTTTGAGATATCTGAGTCCTTTTCCTTCAGTTTGGATTGCTAAATAGGGGCTTGCTTTCTTCAATTTATGTATC